TTGGGAAAAAAACTCCAGTGATATTCATATATTTCAAATATAAAAATATTTAGAGTCACGTAAAATTCATTATTGAAGGGACATTTTGTAGGTTATAAAAAAAATCTGTTTTTCCGTTAACTAGCTGTTGCATCCCTACGAATAACAACCTTCAGAAGTCTAAACTTGTGCGAGTTGAGTATTAACGAGATCTTACCCTTTAACGTGTGATTCCTAACACGGTTGCAGAATCATCCCAGCTTCAACCAAATAAATTCTCTGGTCGAGGCAGGAATCCAACCCACGGTCTTCTGATCGTGAGTCGGGCGCACTACCACCGTGGCCAATTCCACAACAATTAAAATATTGTTTTCTATAAAACTAACTAAACACTTACCAGAGAAAAATCATAATAACATGAAGAATGTTTATTGAATTGGAAATCATCAGAACGATAACCTTAGAAAACTCTTATCTGGATAAATATTTCTACTATTAAATCACTTTTTACATCAATAAGTAACACCTTTCAAGAAATCAGTATAATGTTAAGTTTCTACCAATATAAATAAAGTATCGTCCACTGAGTTGTCAGGTTTTCGTCACTATCTGGATAATAACAGATTTGAGAATGAGTTCAACCCTTGTTATTTGTTTTGATAAGAATTATTTGAAATACTTTACCTTTTACTTTCCACGCCACTTCCATTATTCTTCATATCTTCCGAAGATGTTAGCATTATCATGTCTTGTAATCAAACCTTATGTCAATATCGGACTCACTCAACGGAAACAAAGACCACTCATTACCGATTATTCCGGACTTACGATAAGAATTTAGGTTGTTTTGAAGAAACACACTACCTGATCTTGTCAAACATCGACCACAATGAGTTGATGAAAACACAACTGTTTATAATAAACAAAGTATACGGAGATAATGTTATTGAACGATGACTTATCTGTGCACTTTTCAGTATCGTTCTTCGAACAGAATCATTATTATTGCTATTTTTCTTTGCGTCAATGCGGCCTCTAAATCGTTGGGTTACAGGGGACACTCAGTCACTCTGGCAAATACTCTAATTTATCTATTAAAGTCAATTAGTGAGTTGGACGTAGGTGACATGAATGCTTGTGCGAGACTTATGATACTGGTGTTTTGATCTTGAGTACAGGATTGTACAAGGTGTAGCAAAAGGTCAAAATATAACATGAATACATTTTTTGATTGCTTCCAGCAAAATATCAACAGTTAATTGAGAATAAATTGAAAGAGGTATATTTTTAAGATAGATTGATTTTTGGGAAAGAAAAATTTATACTTTCTACTTCTCTATCGTTATACAAAAAAATGTGGGAATCTTCCGAAGAGAGGAAAAAAGCAATTAATTTCAAAATAAACTATTTACAAAGATATGTAGATCATTCAAAGAAGTAACTTTCAGGCACAAACTACTTTTATATGAAAATTGAAATATACAAAACACTTTTTCCTATTCAGTTTATATTCCAAACATCTTGTAATGCTATCCAGATTGGAATAAGATACTTGTCTTATTCCGAAACATAGGACATCCGCCATTAATGATGACAGATGGCAATGTTCCATGAGGGTGACATTTTTTACCTCTCATTTACTAAATTGTATAGCAATCCTGGGAATAGTATCTGATTCAATTCCATAACGAATATTTGCTATACAAACTGAATAAAGAAGAGTGTAGGCAATAGACGCATATTTTTCTGCGAAAGAATAAAGCTTTCTGAAAATTTTTTTCTGAATTCTACTTATGATGAATTAAAACCAAGGATCACCTCTTTCTTGACGGAATAGCGTA